GCAGGGAGGTGAGGTCGGGCTCTTGTCCAGGGTGGGTTTTCTAGGGGTTTCTCTCTTTTCTAAGCACTTTTCAGTTCTCTTTGCAGTCTGTGGGACTCTTGGAGAGATGTGTTGGAGGAGTGATAGGACTCCGCATGGTCCCTGCTGCCCACCGTGCCCCCGGGCAGTGTCGCGTGCTGCAGTGAGGGGCAGGAGGCGATGGGGCAGGGCATGTTTTTTTTGCCCGTGGGGCTCCTGGTCTGGGTGGCTCTGCCTGGTGCCAGGCCAGAGCTTTGACCCCCACCTCCTCCTGCCCCCCATGTCGCCCTCGTCTGTGTCCTCTGGGGAGTGCTGACCGTGGTCCAGTGCCTGTGTGTGTGTGTGTCCCTGTAGCTGAGCTGTGTCTGTCAGGGGGTTTATAGGCACCAGACCCAAGTGCTGGCTTTGTTCCTCTCTGTGTGGCAGCCCCAAGTGCCCCCCGCCCCACAAGCGAGGGGGAGATGGAGACCCCCCCATGCTCAGTCTCCCTTTTGGCATCCAGCCCTGCAGCCTGCTCTCTGCTTTACACCGTCGTGACCCGTCCCTGCCCAACTGGTGAAAAATGGTCTGAGCAAGGTGCAGTCATGCAGCTACCTGCGGACCTGCCTGGGTGGCCCTGCTGGGATCCCAGGAGGGATCAAAGGTCCCGCACAACACTTGGGAGATGCTCCTCAGCCAGCCCAAGCCTGGCAGCCTCCCACCGGTATCCCACTCTGGCCAGACCCTGCTCCAGCAGATCTGGGTGGCCTCCCCAGGTCCAGGGGGTTGCTGGGGGTGGCCGGCCCTTTCCTGGCCATCCCGCATCTGGGTATCAGAAGGGCTGTGTAAGTAGCCGAGGGGAAACCAAGGCTGTCCTCCTGCCCCTCTGCTGCAACCATGCCTGTTGAGTAGGGGTGCTGCAGCTAGCCACAGGGCTAGCAAAAGCCATGGTGGGTTGTGGCTGTGGGCCAGTAAGAAGGTTTGTATTAAGGGATTTGAGCCCATGGGGGAGAACCTCTTCCCCCACCATGGAAATAAAGCTGCACTGTGCTAACCCCACACAACTCTTCCTCTGCTCTTTGACGCGTCCCATCAGGCACTCAGAGGAGCATTGGCTGCTCCCCGAGCAGTGGTGGGCTGCCCCATCTCTCTCTGTCTAAGCCAAGACCCCACATCCAGCACAAGGTGGAGCTGGGTGATGTGTGGGACAGGAGCATCAGCACCAGGCCGTGGTGCTGTGGGTGCCTCGTACCTGGGCGTGTGCTCTGTCAGGGAGACGCAGAAGGTGCTCCTTGGCCACAGCATGGCACCTGGGCAGGGACAGTCACAGCCTGGCCACATCTGCTGCGGGACCCGTGGGCTGTGCCTGGCCGTGTCTTCTACACCAAGCTGAGTCTGCATGACGAGTGCAGCCACGCGGGCGGAGCAGGCAGCAGCCTGGTAGGTTCTGCTGCATCCAGAGGGACCTTCTGGATATGTGGGTGCAGGTCACCCCCGGAGAGTCCCCGGGGTCGCACGAGCACTGACATGGAGGAAGAGGCGAGGCGTCACTGCCGGGTGGTGCAGAGAAGTGACTGGCAGGACGTGGGTACCCAAGCCCAGCGCGCCCTGCTTCTGCACCTCCTCTGGCACCACTGTCCGACACAAGTCGAACACCCCTCACCTACTGCCAAGCCCAGGAAGCTGTTTGAGGGACAGTTTCCAGCTGTCTGAACTCAATGGGCACATGTTTTCCTTCGCCCAGGTTTCATGGCGTGATTGTCCCCCCACCCAGCAGCGTCCCTGGTCTCCCACCACCCAGTAAGGCAGTGGGCTCCCTCCCAGCCGCAGGGATGTGCAGCCCTGCCTGCCCTCTTGTGGCACATGACTCTGCGTCCGGAATGGGAAGCCAAGAAGAGCTTGCTAAAATTGAGAATATCAGCCTGGAACTAGGGTTTGAGCTGAAAACCAGCTGGACCCTGACTCCTGGACACACGATCCTGGCCGAGCACACCTTGCACATACCATTCACGGCACGTTCTAGACGAGCCCTGCATTGCATGACCTCTGCTCGGCACAACCACTGCTCAGCAAAACCACCGGCAAGCAGCAAGAATGGTGCTGCTCCTCAAAGGGGGATGAGCCAAGGGTGACCACGGCACCAGGCAGGGTGAGCAGGGCAGGAGCAGTAGGTTTGCCTCTGCTCTCCTGCATCCCCTCTCTCTCCTCTCCGCCAGCCCTTCTTGTGCCCCCATCCCCGTCCTGGTCCCTGTAACCTCTCCTCAGCCCAGCAGCAACGATGGACTCGGTGCAGACACCCCTGAGCTGGGCTCAGCGATCTGGTCTCCAGCTCAGACCTCTGGCATCACTCTCCTTCCACTCCCCTTGCTGGGAGAGAGCAAAGGATCAGGAGAGGCTTTGTTGATGCGTCTTTCCCTCCCGTCTCATCTGCCTTCTGCTCTGAGGCTTCGGGAGGGACCCCCAAAGCCCCCATGGGTGCTGAGACATGCAGGGGTGGGAGAGCTGGGTGAGGCTCTAAGGGTGAGACTGTGTCCCTGAGGAGTACAGAGAAGAAACCAGCCTGGGCTCCCTCGCCTTGGAGCTAGGATGGGTCCTGCCGCGCTCCCCGGTTGCCTCCGATGTGGCTCCCCCCCGC